GTCTGCTAGTGATGAACACTGTCAATTTTTTTATGTTGGAAAAAAGGTCTTTATTTTCCTTTCTTTTCTTTTTTTTTCCCCTTTGTTTTTGAGAGAGAGAGACAGAGCGTGAGTGGGGGAGGGGCAGAGACAGACAGACAGACAGACAGCTGTCAGCACAGAGCCCCATGCTGGGCTCAAACTCATGAAATGTGAGATCATGACCCCAGCCAGTTGGATGCTCAACCAACTGAGCCACCCAGGTGCCCCTATTTTGCTTTCGTTAAAAAAAATATTTCTCTGGGTATAGAATTCCATGTTACGTTTTAGATTGTTTTCAAGATGTTGCTCCGTTGTTCTCTGGCTTGCATTGTTTCTCAAAAGTTTTCTGTCATTCTTGTCTTTGTTCATTTGTACTTTATGTGCCTTTTGTCTGTGGCTGCTTTTATGACTTTTCTATCATTTATTTTAAGAAATTTTATTGTCATGTGTATTATAGTTTTCTTCATTTTTCATATTTCTGGCATTTCTGGAGTTTCTCAGGTCTTACGGATTTATAGTTTTTATCAAGTTTTGAAAAGCTTTGGTTATTCATTTTTCAAATATTTTTTCTGCCGTCTCTCTTTTCTCTTGGGAGTGCAATTACTATGATGCCTTCAGTTGGCCCAAGACCTGCTGATGCCCTGTTCATTTATTGTCCATCTTTTTTCTTCCTGTGCTTTATTTTGGATTGTTTCTATTGCTCTTCTTTTCTTTGCATTGTCTTATCTGCTATTAATCCCATCCACTGCATTTTTCATTTCAGATGACTTTTTTAACTCTAGGAATTAAATTTTTAAAAATATCTTTCATGTCTTAGTGTGCTCATATTTTCTTCTTTCTTGAACACAGGAACTACATAACTTTTTTTGTAGTTACTTATTTGTATTAGTTAAAAACATTAAAATTTTTATTGCAGTGTAATTGACATACAATGTTATATTAGTTTCAGGTATGCTACATATTGATTCAACAGTTTTGTATGTTACTCAACACTCACCCTAAGTGTAGCCACCATACAATGTTACCATACAATGTTATTATAATACTATTACAGTATTATTTACTATATTCCGTATGCTGTACTTTTCATCCCTATGACTTATTTATTTTATAACTGGGAGTTTGTGCCTCTTAATCCTCTTCACCTGTTTTGCCCCTTACCCTACCCCCTCTCCTCTGGCAACCACCAGTTTGTTCTCTGTATTTATGAGTCTGTTTCTGCAGTTACTTTAATTGCCTGTTATTCATGGTAAATATCTTAATGCATTGCCTACTGGATATATGTTTTAGTAAAGGCTTGAGGGAATAATGTAAGAAGTCTTTGCTGTTTTGTCCTAGAAACCCAATGCCTTGCACCATGGAAGTGTTTCATGAAATAGTGGGTGGAAAATATTAGCCAAAAAATGGGAGTAGGCTTAGAGAGAAAAGGTAATGATAACCACCTGGACTGTTACAAGGGCTTCCTCTGGTGTGAAAGTATTCTACAGCCTAAGCCCACATTTTTCTTTTGGCCCTGGAAGCAACGTTGCTTTCTCTCAGTTTCCCCTCTCTCTACTCATAAAGTATTATTATAATGAATTTTTTACATGGTCATGAATATTTTATATATATGAACAGATAAACCCTAAAACTATAAAATTTTAAAACTGAAATAAATTTAATGATGACTTAATTCAACCTGCTCTTTTTATAGAAAAGTGAACTGAGGTCCAAGTTACTGATTTGCCCAAGTTTACAAACCTCACACAAATAGTCATTCTTTTGTTTTAAATATTCATTTATTTATTTTGAGAGACAGAAAGAGATTGAGCATGTGCACACAGGGTAGGGGCAGAGAGAGAGGGAGAGAGAGAATCCCAAGCAGTCTCCATGCTTCAGTGCAGAGCCCAATGTGGGGCTCAGTCTCACGAATCATGAGATCATGACCTGAACTGAAATCGAGTCTGACTGTTAACCGACTGAGCCACCAAGGTGCCCTGTCATTTTTTTTTTTAATTCAAGTATGATTAATCTCCAGTGTTACATTAGTTTCAGTTGTACAAAATAATGATTCAACAATTCTATACATTACTTGGTGTTCATCCCAGTAAATATACTCTTAATCCTCTTCACCTATTTCACCCATCCTCTGGAAACCACCAGTTTGTTCTCCATATTTAATATTTTTTTTTGTCTCTGTTTTTCTTTGTTTCGTTTCTTAAATTCCACATATGAGTGACATATGGTGTATGTCTTTCTCTGACTTATTTCACTTGGTATTATATCCTCTAGATCCATCCATGTCATTGCTACTGGCAAGATTTTATTTTTATGGCTGAGTAATATTCCACTGTATATATACCACATCTTTATTCATTTATCTAATATCATAATTTCTAATATCCTTGTCTATTAATTTCATTATCTCTATCATATGAGTCTGTTTATATTGATTCATTTTTCTTGCTCTTTTGTATGCATGGTAATTGTTTACTGGATGCTGGACATGATGAACTTTACCTTGTTGGATACTGAACATTTTAAACTTCAAGTATTTTTGAGCTTTAAGATGTGTGAGACACAGTTATTTGGGGGGCAGTTTGACCCTTTTGAGTCATTCTTTGAAGCTTTATCATGAAGGATTAAAATATTCTTTCTTCCAGGGTGAATTTTTCCCCATGAAGGGCAACACTTTGGAGTACCATACCCGATGTGCAGTTTATTGCAAGGTTTTCCCACTCCATTCTGACTTGGGGCTCACATGCACTGCTTCTGGCTGTGTGATCTCTGGAAATTAGTCCACCAGAGGAAAAAGAAACTTTTCAGTGGTTCTTTTTCTGACCTCAGGTAGTTTTCCTTGTGTGAATGTGCTGACTTATACTTGCCTGAAGACTCAAAAGGAGAACCTGCAGGTCTCTGGAGCTGTCTCTCTCAGTGTAGTCATCTCCTCCCATTGCAACTGTCTCTTCACATGCAGCTCTCTCCTCTCTGATACTCTGGTCCATGAATTCTAGCAGCCATGGCCTCCAAAAATTCTTAACTCTGTTTCCTTAACATTAATTTTTCTTAAAATATCAGGACAGATTAGTGTTGAGTAATAAATTTAAAAGTGGGTTATTTTTTGGGGTGCCTGGGTGGCTCAGTCGGTTGAGCGTGCGACTTCGGCTCATGCCATGATCTCACGTCTCGTGAGTGTGAGCCCCGCATCGGGCTCTGTGCTGACAGCTCAGAGCCTGGAGCCTGCTTCGGATTCTGTGCCTCCCTCTCTGCCCCAACCCACTCACATTCTGTCTCTGTCTCTCTCAAAAATAAATAAACATTAAAAAATAGTAGTAAATTGTCTTATTTTCAGGGGTGCCTGGGTGGCTCAGTTGGCTCAGGTCATGAGCTCATGGCTTGTGAGTTCAAGCCCCACATCGAGCTCTGTGCTGACCGTCGCTCAGAGCCTGAAGCCTGCTTCAGATTCTGTCTCCCTCTCTCTCTGCCCCTCCCCTGCTCGCACTCTCTCAAAAATAAATATATGTTAAAAATAATCATATAAATAAATAAAAGTGACTTATTTTCAAACATGTATTTTTGACTTACTTTTTAAGTTTATTTATTTTTGAGACAGAGACAGCATGACTAGTAGAGGAGGGTAGAGAGAAAGAGGGAGAGAGAGGATCCCAAGCAGGCTCTGTGCTGCCAGCCCAGAGCCCAATGCGAAGCTCAAACTCATGAACCATGAGATCATATCTGAGCTGGAACCAGGAGTCAGACACTTAACTGAGCCATCCAGGCACCCCTATTTTTGGCTTCTCTTCTCATCTTTTTATTAATACAATAACATTATCTAAAAGAGCCTTTAATACAAATTAAAAGTTTTAAAACCTGGGGAAATAAATAGAAGAGCATTCATACCAGATCTGATGGTATCAGTTTAATTTTTCTTATAAATGAAAGTAGTTTGATAGTGGTTTTAAATTTGTTTGGTGAATATATTTTCTATATTATTTTTAAGCTTAGTAGTTATTGTTTAGTTCTTAGATGAGGTAAAAAAACATTTAGGAGTATCTAAAGAGCTTTTTGCTGCATTATTCACTGCCAAATTTAAAGAATATGCAGAAGAAGGAATATGAAATTGCCCTAGAAACTTTTTTAGTGCTCTTTTGTAATCTGTTACACCTTTCATGCATATATGGGACATTTTCATGTTTCTGTCCTTTCATTGTATTTCTACATTGGATTTTTTTTTTCTTTTAGTGTTGTAGTATAACAGAAATATGTTTAATGTCATTATTCACAACTGCTAACATATTATTTGGATTTTTCATTTCAACCAAAAATAATATGTGATGTTTGATGTTGATGTTTATATGCTATGTAAGTATTGTGCTGTAATGTTACCACATTTTGCTGTGGTTCCTGTCAGATGAAAAATTTGCCATTATCATACGCATAAAGTTTCTTCGGTGAAACTCTGAAAACTAAACAATTGTCTTGATAAAAACTGAAGCATGTATATTAAATGTTCATTCTCATTTTTGTATCCTTTCTAGTCTGCACTATCGATGTAACTTTTTCTCAAGGTCAGATTTTGGTTTTTAACAGTTGACACTATCATTGACAAACTTTTAAAATTCTTCATGAATAGTGAGACTATCTGATGAGTACCCTTAATCTTTTTATTTTTCACACTTTTACATTCTCATTCTTTATTTTTTCATCTCCAAAGAATTTTTAAGACAAAGTACACTGGTTTTTTTGTTTTTTTCTTCAGTAAAATGAATTGTATCTAGTGATTTTTATTTGTTTTACCATTTGCCAGAATTTTGTGTGTAATGTTTTTGAAAATTTCCTACTTGTATTGTCATTGAACCATTAACTGCAACTATAAAGTCCATAACTCTTAGCTGGTATATTTAAGTTTGGGTAGGTGAGTGGGGATTTTTGTGGATAAGTAGAAATAATCAGTTTAGTGATTAAACAAGAATTCAGTACCTTTCCTCTCTTTTATGTAGTATCAAAGGTGCCGAATCTGGGATAAGTTGCATGAAGAGCATATCAACGCAGGCCGTACAGTTCAGGTAAGTCTATTACATTGTTTCTAGTAAATCAATATGAAAGACAGTCTTAAGAATATTTTGCTAAACTAAATAGTCTTGTGGCTGAATCTTTTTATGTATATTTGTAACTATTTCTTTAAGGGTGCATTTTTAACAGGAGTCACTGAATCAAATGTCATACATATTTTTAAGATTTTGATTCATAATACCAAAATTTTCTCCAGGAACAAAGTATCAACTTATACTCAAAATCAACGCATTTTCCAAAAACCTTATGAACATTAGTATTATCAGTTTCTCAAAATTTTGCCTACTAGTAAGTTAAAATAATGTTGCTTTTGTTGTTCTAATCTGGAGTTTTTATTGCTTTGAATGGTAAAAGTTTTTTTCATATGCGTCTTGGATAGTAATATTTCTTTTGTAAATCACCTGTTCATGTCCCCTGCATATATTATGTGTTGTCTTTAAAAAAAAAAAAAAAAGTTGATTTATCTTAAGAGAATGTGCACATGTGCAAGTGGGGGAGGGGCAGAGAGTGGGAGAGAGAATCCCAAGCAGGCTCTGTGCTGTCAGCATGGAGCTTTCTCAGGGTTCTCTCTCCTGCTCTTTCTCTCTGCTCCTTCCCTGACACATGCGTTTTTTTCTCTCTCTCTGTCTCTCAAAATAAATAAACTTAAAAACAAATTTTTTTAAAAGAGAACTTCAAAACGATACTGTTACAGTAACATAGTATTTATTACAAGTATTCTTTGCAGTTATTGTCTTTTTAATAAATAAATGTTAATTATTTAAATTTTTAAAAATCCTGGGGCACCTGGGTGGTTCAGTCGGTTAAGTGTCTGACTTCGGCTCAGGTCATGATCTCGTGGTTTATGAGTTTGAGCCCCGCGTGGGGCTCTGTGCTGACAGCTCAGAGCTTGGAGCCTGCTTTGGATTCTGTGTCTCCCTCTCTCTCTCTCTGCCCCTCCCCACTTGTGCTCTGTCTCTATATCAAAAATAAATAAATATAAATGTAAAAAAATTTTTTTAATTTTTAAAAGTCCTATATTTACATAGTTAAAAGTGAAATAAAAGTAAAAGCTTTACCTTACCTTTCTCCATCTCTGTGTCCTACTTGGAAGAAACCACTTTTAATCCTTTTGGCCATTTTCCCTGGTATGTAGCTCTTTATTCCTTAATATAATGTGAGAATGCTATTTCTTAATTAATCAGGTTCAGACATTACCTCTTCCTACCATAATAGGTGGTGATCTAGCTTTCTGCCCAGCTCTGGTACTTTCTTTCCGCCTATACAAATACATACATTATAAATTTTGGTTAAATTATAGATCATTATTTTATTATTTTGATTATAAAAATACTGTTTTCTTCTAAGCCAAATAGTGAAATACAATATAGTTTTTGCTTTTTGTCTTTTTTTTTATTTCCTAGCTTTCTGTGTATTTGTAATTTTTTTCTAAATGCTCCACATCTTTGCTATGTGCTATCAGTAATAATTTTCATATGTCCAAATATTCTACTTCCATTCTTTATCCTGAACACTCCCTCCTGTAGCCCTCTTCCCAGTTCCAATCTGGATTTCCTTTCTAGGCTTCTTGCACAGGTGCTGTTCTGGGACTTCCTTCAGCTGCTCTTATGTGTTGGGTCCCTGTATTCCTGGGTATCATGTCTTCCTCATTTTTGGTTTACTCCATTGTTTTGTTGGAGTACATCTCTCAGTAGCTCTCTAAATAAGCTCTCTAAATTTACGTCGGAGGTAAATTTTTAAGTTATTATGAGTCTAAAATATACCCCTTTTCTCCCCTCACATGTGACTGCTAATTTCAATAGGTATAGAATTCTAGCTGGTATTCTTTCAGATTTGAGGGTTCTCTAGTTTAGTGTTGCTCTTAATGAAGCTGATATCGTCTGATTTCTCAATTTTTGTATGAGATCTATTTTTTTTTCCCCTCTTTGGAAGCTTTTGTAGTCTGTTTATCCCTGGTGTTCTCAAATTTGATGATGATGTGCTTTGTGTTGGACTCTTTCAGTCTAAAAATTTATGTTCTTTAGTTCTGGGAAATTTAGATTATTCAATATGTTATTACTCTGTGTTTTTTCTTTGCTTTTTTTTTTTTTAATCTTTAATTGCAAGAATTGGCAAATGATGGCATTTTCCTTGGATGACCCTCCAGACATCAGTAGCTGGAGGTTTGCTTTGGTTCAGTTTTCTAAAGAAGAATCCTTCTCCTCTTCCTCCTCCTCCCAGGGCAAGTAGGCACTTATTTTTCAGTCATAAAAGCAGGGTAGGTGAAGGATGCTGGGCTTTCATTGTTCAGTACACGCTTTCACATAAATACCTTCTTTTAGCCCTGTGCCGGGTGTTTCTGAATCTAAAGTCTGTTTTTCCAAAGAATGCATCTCTGATCTTCTTGGATTTCAAAAAGGTTACTGTAGCTGCAGTGTAGTGAATAGATTGGGATAGAATGAAATGATTGCAAGAGATCATTTAGGAGAGATTACAGAGATAGTGGAGATAGAGAAAAACGGATTGACTTGAGGTCTAGTAGAAATTTGACCTACCTCTCTATGTATGTATTTTACTGCTTGCCAACTAGATTATAAGCCTGAAGATCAGGGATTGTGTCTCTGCTATTTGTGTATATCACAGTACCTGCTGTTCGTCAAGATTCAGTGTTTATTGAATGGTGCTAAGCACGTAAATGTCAATGAGATTATTATGACTAGGATTTCTTGCCATCTTCACTGTTTAATATGTTAGTAAAAATCACTTATTTTCTTGAGACAGTGCTTATGGTCAGAGTGTTTACTGATTAAAGAATATATTGACCTCCATTAATGACCTCCATCTGGCACAAAAGATTTATGTGTGCCATAAAAAGAATGAGATTGAAACTGTTTTTAGATGTAAGTATTTGCTTAGTTTTATTCATATATGCTCTGAATTTTGTGTATAGACTAGTTCTTGGCTAGTTTGTATAAAACTGATTTTTGGACAATTTCATGAACAGTTATAGAGTTTATAAGTTTCTCATTATTATGTATAGTAAGAACTATCTGCTCACTTTCATTATAGCGTCTTTGTGGAAAGGAATTCTTAATTTAAACATAGTCTAATTTGTCAGTCTTTTGTGGTCTTGCTTTGGGTGTCTTATTCAAGGAATACTCTCTATCCTGAGATCAAGAATATATTTTCTTATATTTTCCATTGAATGTTTTCAATGTTTTACTTTTAACACTTATGTCTTGAATCCATCTGAAATTGGTGCTATGAAGTAGATACAAATAAATCTCCTTTATTCCATTTGGAAAACCAGTTCTGTCACTATTAACTGATTTCTGCAGTGCTATTTACATATCACAATTCCATATATGTATGAGTCTGTCTCTGGTCGTTTTTTTATGTAAAAAAAAAATGTTTAATGTTTATTTTTGAGAGAGAGAGACAGACAGACAGAATGAGTGGGGGAGGGGCAGAGAGAGAGGGAGACACAGAATCTGAAGCAGGCTCCAGGCTCTGAGCTGTCAGCACAGAGTCCAATGTGGGACTCAAACCCATGAACCTTGAGATCATGACCTGAGCTGAAGTCGGACTCAACTGACTGAGCCACCCAGGCACCCCTGTCTCTGGTGTTTCTGTTCCACTGGTCAGTTTGTCTATTTCTCCATCAAGTTCCACACCATCTTAATTATGATAAGGCTTGATATCTGGTAGGACAGTGTTTCCATCTTACTCTTCCTTTTCAGGACTGATTTGGCTATACGTATACCTTTAGTCTTCCATATAAGATTTGGAATCTGCTTGTCAAAGTCCATACACAATCTTGTTGGGAATTTGGGAATTGCATTGGCTTTATCCATGTATTTAGAGAAAATTGACATGTTTACAATGTCCAGGTTTCCTACCTATGAATATGGGAGGTTCTTGCACTTTTTGTGTCTTTTTTAATATTCTGCATACAGATACTGATAGATTATACTTTTAAAAAATACCTGCAAAATGTTTCCATTCTGTTTGGAATTTTACACAATGACCTTGCTATTCCCCAACCAGCAGGTAGAGTCTGATTCCCTTCCTGTTGAATCTGGGCTGAGGCAGAAATAATGCCTGATTTCTGAGGCTAAGTCAGAAAGGTGAGATAGATTCCCCTGGTTCTCTGAGGGTGCTTGCTCTGCGGAAACCTCAGCATCATGTGAAATGTCCAGCTATCCTGAGATCCCCTTGTGGGAGATAGCCACAGCCACAGCTGAGCTGTTAGGAACTTGCAGCCTCAAGTGCCAGCCACACGTGTGTGAGCCATCTCAGACATTAGAGCTTTCGGATGACTATAGCCTCAGCGGGTGCCTGACTCAACCACATGGGTGACTCCGAGTGAGAACTGCCCGACTGAGGATGTCCTTAATTTCTGGTCTGCAAAATGGTTAGCAAAATCAGATGGTGGTTTTAGATCCTTAAGTTTTGGATGAATTTGTTATGCAGCAACAAATGACTGGAATACAGGGCTTATAGTTATTTTGTTTATCTATTTCACTTATCTATTCTTAAGTACTTTACAGTTTTACAGTGTGTGTGTGTTTGGGAGAGGTTTAAATGTTGTCCTTCTTTTTAATTATGCTTTCTACCGTGATGGTGTATATAGGAATATAATTAATTTTCATTCATAGATCTGTTGCTGATTATCTTTAAGTTCTCTTGTTTGAACAGTCTAAATCCCTTTGGGCTTTCTATTTATAGTTTATTTTTTTGAGTAATATTTTTCTTCTCTTGTAAGATTACCCCTTTTTCCTGATTTCTTTCTTGCTTTGATTTCTTGTGTTTTGCTTTGTTTTGTTTTTTAGTCAGTCCAGCTTTCTAGTTATTACAAGAAATGGTTATAAATAAGCTCGTTCAAATTTACTTTTTAGAAAAAGATCTTATAAATAACAACAGATCCCTCTGCAAAATAATTCTTAATTTATACATAATGTTTTTTCAGAAAGTAAAATCTCATTCATTCTGCTGTATTCCAGGATGATTATAA